TGGGGTGTTTGTAGAAGGTGACCTCGCTGCCCTGGTTTCGTCTTAAGAAAAGACGTGGCTGCGTGATTGCCAGCCTTAGCCCAGCCAGCTCCAGTCAGACCTCGGTCACGCCTCTGGAAATCATTCCCATCCCTCCACCCCAGGCCCCTGGTAGAACAGTACCCCAAGTAACAACTTTTTTTTTTTTTAAGACTTTTTTCGATGTGGACCTTTTTTAAAGTCTTTATTGAATTTGTTACAATATTGCTTCTGTTTTATGCTTTGGCTTTTTGGCCGTGAGGAATGTGGGGTCTTAGCTCCCCGACCAGGGATCCTAGGGATTGAACCCACACCCCCTGCATTGGAAGGCGAAGTCTTAACCACTGGACCACCAGGGGAGTTCCAACAACTCTTTATTGAGTGACTCTGCATTAATAATAATTATATTATTAAATTAACAAAGAACATTACATGGAAGCATGCAGGCATTCATTCTACAACATTGTATGTATGTCAACATCGTCTGTGCTGGGAGGGGCTGTGGGTATCATGCAGAGGTTGTGTCCCGAGAAAAGCTAAGGTTGAGAACTGTGATCTCTAACCTCCTGCACCTGCGCTTCCCTGCCCCTCCTGAGAAGGCTTGGAGCACACACTTCCCGACTCCAGCTAGTGCATCGACAGTCTGAGTTGAGCCAGGAGGCCATGGCTGCCTGCCCAGAGAGGGAGGGTCGCAGGGCACCCGGGAAGGAGAGGCGGCAGGCACGCTGTGAGGAGTCCAGGGGGAGCTAGCTCTGGGCCCTGTGTCTGAGCTTCGCCAGCCAGGGACAAGAATTAATTCTAAAGGAAGAAAGAGGAGGGAATCGGGACAGCCCAGAGGCCTTGCTTTCTGACTTTCTTACCACGCCAGACATCTTTAAGCAGGAGAGCTCCTCTGTCTCCGGGACAGCCTTTAACATCAGGGGAAACAAGCAGCCCTCCCTATTCTGCCCTGTCCTAAGTCCAAGTAAAGCCCCTTCACCTACTCACCACACCAGAATTGCCTTTGACCGAAAGCATTCCTTTCCCCAAGTTAGAAGAAACAAGGGGTGGAGGTGCAAGCCTTTTGGTGGGAATGAGCTTTTATCAAATCCTGATAGGGGCCCAGTCTGGGGAGATGTCATCAGGTTATCCGCGGTCACTGAAACCTTTGCCCTTTTATGTAAGTGTGATGCTGGTCAGCGAAGATGTTGTCTGGACCTGGTAATGGAGAAGGAGAAGAAAGGATGAATTTGAGGTGTGTTTGTGAGATGATTCTGTGGGTGTTCAGGAAATGGAAGGGTTGGGTGGCTTTCGAGTTTCGAGCTTGGGTCATTGAGTGGATAAACTGAGACAGAAAACACAGGAGAGGTGAAGGTGTCCTGTTTGGTTGTGGACTCATTGATGTTGAGTGCCCGTGGGCTATCTAGTGGAGATGTCTATCAAGCAATTGGATGTTCACGTCAGAAGCTTGGGCAAGACATAGGTCCTAAAGATAAAGGTGTTGGCAATGTATATACATGGAAGGTTTACATGGAAATCCCAAAAGCAAGGAAGAGTGTTTGTGAGAAGAGCAGTAAGCTAAGAACAGGACCCCGGAGAAACCCACAGAGGAGAGACTGAGGTGTGGTGGGGAGGACCCAGATTCTACAGAACAGTTCGGCATTGATAAATAAGGTATGGTTCTTTAAAGGAGGGTAATTCAAGTGAGGGTGAATGAGAGTATGGCATTCCTAGGAGAGCTTTTTCAATCAATCTGTATAAAAGAAAACTACAAAAGTAAATCAGGTTCAAATGCCTTGCTACCTTTTCTAAGGAAATTGGTTACAATGGTTATGTCCTCGTTTAAGATTTATTGAGATGTGTAAGGAAATTGTATGTGGGCTCCTCAGGCCTCCCCAGTTCTCAGTAATTGAACGTCCTGGAAGCAGGCCTAGGAGCTTGGTCAGCCCTCCTGTCCTCGAGCCTCTGGGTAATACTCCCTGGATTTCCCCATTTCCTGCTGCTCCCCAAATAAGCACATGTAATGCCCTTCTGTTGGGTAGCCCATTTTTATCTGTTAAAGTAATATAATCATCTTCAACATTCTAATAGTCCAAAAGGCTATTCAGTGATAAGTAAATCCCCCTCCTCCCCAGGCTCCAGATCCTTAGTCCTTCTGGAAGGATTGGCCTGTGGGCCAGATCCAGCCAGCTGCCTGTTTTTGTAAATAAAGTTTTATTGGAGCCCAGCCACACCCAGTCATTTACACACAGTCTATGGCTGCTTTCCCACTACAGCGGCAGAGGTGAGTAGTTGTGACAGAGAAAGAAAACGTTTGGCAACCTGTGCTCTTTGTGTCTAGGCTTCTGGGTGTATATAGTCTTTTTTGGACACATATGTGAGCTCGCTCTACACTGTTCATTATTTCTGTTTCACAGTCTACAGTGGGGACTGTTCCACAGGGATATGTGCAGATTCTTCTCAGGCTTTTTCACACAGTGTGGGTGTAATTAATCAATGCCCCGTAGGGCATTTTAGTGCTTTTCAGTCTTTAGCCTTAACTTCAGGGAAGCTTCTCATTACACACCTTCTTTGCACACACATGAGCTCTTCTGGATGGGTTCATAAAACTGACAGATTCTGCCAGACTGGCCCCCGGCCCCCGCCTTCTCTCAATGCGTCAGGTTCTTTTCATTTTAAGGGCTAAATTTCTAATCCCTGTGAGGAAATGGGGCCTAACAAAATAAATAAGTGAAATGTGCAAGTTTACCAAATTTGTATAATCTATATAAAATTTTAGTGTCTAATATTTACTATAGCTCCTTTGGGGGTCTGCCCACTGCTCTTATTTCTGAAGTTGGGTGTCGTAGTCTGCGCAGGCAGCTATGACAAAATACCACAGACTGGGAGGCTTATCAACAACAGAAATGTATTTCTCACAGTTCTAGTGGCTGGGAAATCCAAGATCAAAGCTCCAGCAGATTCTGTGCCTGATGAAAGCTTGCTTCCCGGTTCATAGACAACAAGCTTCCCACCGTGTCCTCACATGTTGGAAGGAGCAAGGGAGCTTCCTGGGGTCTCTTTTGTAAGGGCACCAATCCTATTTATGCGGACTCTACCCTCATGACCTAAAAATTTCCCCAAAAGCCCCACCTCCTAATACAATCACATTGGCAATTAAGTTTCAACTTAAAATTTGGGGCGGGGGATGCAAACATTCAGTTTATAGCAGTGATTTACTGGGCTTTCCCCATTTGACATCAGATCTAGATCTAATCAGGTTCTGAAGGTAGAATCAAGATAGATATTCCTTTTAGCCTCAGGTGGGTCATTTGCATTTCTAATGATCTCTTGACAACATCCAATTCTCTAGGCCTCTGCCCAAAGCAGAGCAATCCCTCCCCAAATATGCTAAGCACAAATACAGACAATTAAGTTACTTAGTACCTATATTTTAGGAGTTAACATTATTTTTCATTCTATTTGGTAACCAACATCTCTCAAAATTAGGTATAGTTAATACAGACTATGACAAAATGCAACCATTGTACGTATTTCCATTTCCTTGTTTTTAAGGACGAGAATCTTGTTTTAATCGTATTTGGGCCCAGCATTCTGCCTGGTGTGTGGTAGGCACCCAGTGGATGTTGGTTGAACTGAACCAATTTTCTCTTCATATTTCAACGGAATTATTCCTTTGTTCTCTTACAGAATGAAGACATTCAAATGTTGTTTTAAATACCACCTAAAGCAGAAAGTTTTCATCCTGTTTCTAACCCTATGGCTGTTCTCCTTGTTGAAGCTTCTAAATGTGAAACGCCTCCTCTTCCCTGAAAGAGGCATTTACTTGGTTGAGTACTCTCTAAGTACCTCGCCTTTTGTAAAGAACAGATATACCCATGTTAAGAATGAAATCGGGTATGAGATTAACTGTTCAGGTGTCTATGAACAGGAGCCTTTGGAAATTGGCAAGAGTCTGGAAATAAGAAGAAGAACCATCATCGACTTGGATGATGATGATGTCGTGGCAATGACCAGTGATTGTGACATTTATCAGGCCCTACGAAGCTACCACGAAAAGCTTGTTTCAAGGGAGGAGAAAAGCTTCCCAATAGCCTATTCTTTGGTTGTTCACAAAGATGCAATTATGGTTGAAAGGCTAATCCATGCTATATACAACCAGCACAATATTTACTGCATCCATTATGACCGTAAATCATCTGATACCTTCAAAGTTGCCATGAACAATTTAGCTAAGTGCTTCTCTAACATTTTCATTGCTTCCAAATTAGAGATTGTGCAATATGCACACATTTCCAGACTCCAGGCTGATTTAAATTGCTTGTCAGACCTTCTGAAGTCTTCAGTTCAGTGGAAATATGTTATCAACCTGTGTGGGCAGGATTTTCCTTTGAAATCAAACTTTGAATTAGTGTCAGAGTTGAAGAAACTCAATGGATCAAATATGTTAGAGACAGTGAAACCCCCTAACACTAAGATGGAAAGATTCACTTATCACCATGAACTCAGACAGGTGCCTTATGAATATGTGAAACTACCAGTGAGGACAAACATCTCCAAGGAAGCCCCCCCTCATAACATTGAGATATTTGTTGGCAGTGCTTATTTTGTTTTAAGTCGAGCATTTGTTAAATATGTTCTCAACAACTCCCTCTTTAAAGACTTTTTTGCCTGGTCTAAAGATACATACTCACCTGATGAGCACTTTTGGGCTACCTTAATTCGGGTACCAGGAATCCCCGGGGAGATTTCTAGGACAGCCCAGGATGTGTCTGACCTACAGAGTAAGACCCGCCTGGTCAAATGGAACTATCTAGAAGGGCTTTTCTATCCCAGTTGTACTGGCTCTCACCTCCGAAGTGTGTGTATCTATGGAGCAGCAGAACTAAGGTGGCTTATGAAAGATGGACATTGGTTTGCTAATAAATTTGATTCTAAGGTGGACCCTGTCTTGATTAAATGCTTGGCGGAAAAGCTTGAAGAACAGCAGAGAGAGTGGATCACTTTATCTTCAGAAAAGTTATTTATGGCTAAAACAGCCACAACCACATTATGATAAAGTCATGATGGAAATAAGGTTAATATGGAATTGCATGCTATACCATGGCCAGTACCATTTGCGTTTAACCTTCTCATAGTCTGAAAGGTGTCTACTGTTCCACACACAAGGGAAAGTGACCTGGCCTTTAGTGACAGTTAGTCTGTGGTTGGTTGGGTGTTTTTATGTATGTTTTTGCTTGTAATCTCACTGAGCTAAATGGGAGATTTTCAACAGTCAGTAATCTGATATCTATTGCGTTCCTGCTATATGCCAGGCACTTTTTTAGAAACATGTAGGAATAGCATCCAAGTTGTGATGAGTTATACAGTGCCCTCAAGGAGCTGTGGCTTACCCCAATCACACAGCAACCTTAATATCTTAAGTTGTCCACATAACAGGGTCCCACTAAAGAAGTTGTGGAGTGTGCGGTAATTATATAACCATAATAACCACCAGTTTCAGAGCAGCGTTGACGTACAGTGACCAACATTCCACTTGCCTCTTAATTCAGCTCCCTAGACTTTTCTTAACCATTAGAATATTAGAAGGAGAGACTCTACTACCTCAGAAGAACTAAAAGAATTGTCCAATTTCCTGCTTGCCAAAAGCATAACTTACCTTACGGTACCTCGCTTATTCAATTCAGGGTTGGGTGACTCTGTTGGGGGTGCATTTCTAGTGTATGGATGTCAGGGAGGGGGTGAAGTTAAGTCGGAGGATTGGGACGGGTGGTGCCTGAGGAGGAACAGAGGGATTTGGGTGACTTTTCCATCACGTTACGCAATGGTGTCATGAATGACCTCCTTTGTAATTCAGCTGTTTCTTTAATACATTTACTGATTAAAGTTAAAAACTGATTAACAGTTCAAAGTGTCACTCTCCAGAACATTGAACCTAAGTCTTTCTGTTCATAGATTATCATTATATGTAAGTTTTTTTTTACAGTGGAATAGTATAATTTTGTTTTGTGGAACTGTCAAGCTAAGAATCACTAAATTTTCTTGAAAAGGTTGTGTGAAATATGACAGCTTACTAAATTAACTATTAGTCATTAAAATAATGTTCTTACTTCTCCGACAACTGTCAAGTGGAGTCCAAACGTAAACTTATAAAAGCTCTAAGTTCATTGCAGTCTTCTCAGCTTCAATCCAAGAGAGAAAAAGCTAATTTTCCTAAGGACATGGCAAGAATATTCACTAATGATATTTTATGAAACCTACACCTTAGAAAACTACCAAAATCTGTCAAAATATACACATATTTTCATGTAACTATTGTGCTGGAGGTGAAATGGGACAGGAGTGGGGTCCTCAGAACAGGCTATAATATTTTTATGTGTCCTGGGAAATAATGGAACTCATGTAAGAAATTCTCCATGATCTTATGTTTCAATGTCAGCCTCAGTTACTACATAAAGATGTAATAATCAAGACCAGTATGAGACTGTTGGAAGACAAGTATTTAAATGTTTTCAAATGTCTGTGTTCTACATGTGAAATGCCTTTTGCTTGTTTTAAAGTTTATGATACGATCTGCCAAGTGGCACCATTTCTCTGTCCCTTTCTTTTTCTCCTGAACTTGTTTGTTTTCCCTTTTTTTCCCCTACCCCTTTCAAATTACCAGTTTGTCCATCCATGTGTGTGACCGTGACAATCTAATCACTATGATCTCCAGGAGCCTCAGTTTTCTTGGTCTATAAAGTGAACAGTTGGATGTGTCCTTGGCTTCCTCACATATTTCTGTGTGAGAATCAATGGAAATAATATATAAAGTGGTTTGAAAATGAGGACAAACTATTGAAATATCAGCGAGCAGTCTTACTATGAGGCAAACATAGGTCTAACCCCATTGTGACACTTAACCATTTACCTTTCTAAAAAACCTTCGAAATACAAAAAGAAGCCACAATTGCAGAGGCAACTTTTGTAACAGAATCCAGGTACTAAGAAACCCCTGTCACTACATCTGGGGCTCCTTTTAAACGAATAAGATTAGCAAATTGGTCCAGTGGCTTAGATCAGGAGTAGGGGTAGAAATACTTTTCCTACTATCCAGGCTTAAATACACAAAGCCCTGTCGAAATCTTGTTTTCTATGCCTTTGGTCGTCAGAATAAATGAAAATGATGAAAAATAAATATCGACCTCCTGGTCTGGTGTCTTGCCTCCTGGTGAGAAATGATTCTATCCCTTGTTTATTGGGAAATCTTCCAGTGGTTAATCACTGTAATGGCATATTCAAATGAAACATGGCACCAAGAAGAGGTGGCAGTGCCTTCTCCACATGGACATATTTCTCAGGATTCAATTCCTGACATTCCAGGGAGCTTGTCAGATCATTCTCTCTTGCCTTGGAAATCCTGCAGATTCCCTGCATGTCTTCAAACCTCCATCAAACCTGATTCTTCCCTAAAACATTTTGGTATGATTCTCTCTAGTCTGGAGAATGTTCTGCAATCTGTGTTTTATAATTATTCTTTGCATAGTATTTATTGAATCTAGATTATTATTTGGCAATGAGACCAGGACCTTGGAGTTTGTAAATTATATTAGATAATATTAATGGTGAAAGAGCTACCCAAATATATCTACATTATGTAAATAATCTACTGTAATAATATTTAAAGACCAGTGTTGCTGCTATTTTTAATGTTTTGGTTATTTTAAGTGAAATATATGTAATGTTTTAAACTTAGGGAATCAAATTTGAAGATTTTTCTTGCCTTCCAGAATGTGAATATTATACATAAATATATATATATTGACATATTGCAGAGAAAACAAAATGACAATCTTTTTTGAGAATGTAAAGTGAATGTACTCTATTTATGTTATAACTGTTGTTGTTGATGATGGAATGAATTTTGATTTTTGTTAACATTTTTATCAACTGGTCTCTAAATCTCCTAATTTTTTTTTATTTTTTGTTTGTTTGTTTGAAAGACATATTTCTCATTGTATGAGTTTTAAGTAGATTGGTGTTGCATTTTGTGTATTATGCTGCTACTAGATGTTAATTCTCCAGTACTGTCAAATAAAATGTGCTCCCAAAACCAAGGCCCTGGAATCTTTGATGTTTCCTTTTTCAGGTTGTGCTGGTTCCCCACAAAGATTCTTTCAGTTGATGACACTTGCCCAGTATTTGAAGAGCACAGTTAATTTCACATCAGAGTAAAAAAAATCAGTGTGTGCACTATACACAGAACATAGGCACACAAACTTGAATTTAATTTGGCAAAATCTCAAAGAATCTTTTAGAATTTCTCTGTTTTCATTCTCCTTCAAGTTGGTTTCTCCTCTAAGATTAACTATCTAGATAAATATTCTTGTTTCCTTGATTACTTTTTGGGAGTTTATTCTCAATAGAGTAGGTTGAGCTCTTTATCTCACATCCCTCAATCCCTGGAAAATCAACTCTTTCTGTCTGCACCAGGATGCCTGCCTTGGTTGTAAGCCCCATGAACATGAGGACCCTGGCTCCGCCAGTATCCTCAGGCTCGGTTGGTGAGTGATTCTGGATGAGTTTCCCTGTGTCCTGAATAACACCATCTTTTCCAGCTCTACTGAGCAGAGAAGGATTTGTCATCACTGATCCCCGCACTCCCACCCCTACTCTGAAAATCCCCCTGGTCAGTTAGTTTTCTTCTATCACACTTCTAAAGCTATAACAGTTCCCAGCCTCCCTAGCTGACAAGGAGTATGCATGTCACACTCATAAATCACAATCCATCTCAAGGAGTAGGGCCATTTTAGGAAACTTCAAGATAAAAAAAATCAACATCTACTTTAACCTAAGGTTAATTCTAGGTCTTGCCAAACTGGACAACTATGTAATCCCATGAAAGAAGTTGGACTGCTTTTGGTAGTGGCAGTGGTAGGATGGGTAGCTATACAGCATCATATTGAAGACCCATAGGCTTGATTCCCAGATTAGCAATTCCATATATTTTTAATTCCCTTTGGTGCCTACAAATCTGCATCTAAACTAGGACAACTGGCTTCTAGTTTCATGAAACCGATTATGAAGAAACCTTGGCAAGGGAAAGTAGATGATTGCAAATTTATTCCTACTACTTGGAAAAAAATTTCTATGATGATGCATAATAAACAGCTTGAGCTGTGCTTCAGAGACAGATGATCAGTGTGTCAACCCACGAAGATGCATAAAAGCCACAGGAAGACTATTCACCTGACCTCAGGTATGGCCTTCACGTAGAGTAGCACTGTCCTTCCTGGGAGCATCGTGGACAAAATCATGCAGAGGACAAATAGGAAAGAATATGAGGAAAAATCTTGGTCGATGACCTGGGTAAATTTATTTTACTTTTTTGTTGTGGATAATTGCTGTTGTTTTCTATAGAACAATAAAGGAAATTTAAACAGAAATCATTCATATTCATAATTCTAACATCCTGACAAAACCATTATAGTTCTCTGAATGCCCTTCTAATCTTATCCATACCCATATCCATTTTTTGTTTCTTCCCACTGCCAGTGTATTTTCAATCACTTTCCCATGTTGCTGCATGATCTTTATGGCTATCTAATGGTCATACCATAATTCACTCAGTCCTTCCTTTATTGTAGGACATTTGGATTGTGAACTCCTTTTATCTTTCTGTCATAAATAATGGTGCTGTGAACAGCTTTATACATAAATCTTTTTCTTTCCTTCAATCACTTCCTTATTTCTGAGCGAGGAATGACAATCCTGAAGAGAATGGATTTTTAAAAATTTACTGGTTTTTATAGATGTTGCAAATCTCCCTCTCAAGGAATTGTATAGGACAGTCGGTTGGTGTATATCAACTACAGCCTCAACCTATGTGAAATAAATTGTATTTATTTATTCTGATGAATGGCTAGTCTGATTCTCAAAGGTAAGCAAAGACCTTTGCCTAAAGTAAGGTTGCAGCCAGTCCTCTAACAGATCAAAGAAGGTGTTTAATGTATGGTTAGTAAAGAGCTCTTTCAGAACAGTATTATTCTCGAAGTTTAAATTTTGATGACTGCTCCA